CACACACACACACACCACACACAACACACACACACACACACACACACACACACACACACACACACACACACACACACACACACACACACACACACACACACACACACACAACACACACCACACCACACACACACACACACACACAACACACACCACACACACACACACACACACACACACACAACACACACACACACACACACACACACCCACACACACACACACACACACACACACACACACACACACACACACACACACACACACACACACACACACACACACACACACACACACACACCACACACACACAACACACACACACACACACACACACACACACACACACACACACACACACACACACACACACACACACACACACACACACACACACACACACACACACACACTCACACACACACACACACACACACACACACACACACACACACACACACACACACACACACACACACACACACACACACACACACACACACACACACACACACACACACACACACACACACACACACACACACACACACACACACACACACACACACACACACACACACACACACACACACACACACACACACACACACACACACACACACACACACACACACACACACACACACACACACACACACACACACACACCACACACACACACACACACACACACACACACACACACACACACACACACACACACACACACACACACACACACACACACACACACACACACACACACACACACACACACACACACACACAACACACACACACACACACACACACACACACACACACACACACACACACACACACACACACACACACACACACACACACACACACACACACACACACACACACACACACACACACACACACACACACACACACACACACACACACACACACACACACACACACACACACACACACACACACACACACACACACACACACACACACACACACACACACACACACACACACACACACACACACACACACACACACACACACACACACACACACAATGTTATCCAACCTCACCAATTCTACCATCTAAACATTTACGCTAGTTAAATACAAAGCAAATTTTTTCGGAAATATGAGATACGATAGTATTGTGCTAGATTTGTACTAATATATTAGCATCCTAGTAATTTTTTACCCTTTAACTACCCTCCCAATCCGGAATCAATAATTCTGCTAGGTTAAAATTTAAGGTGATAAAAAATCTATTTCTATAATTTAACTGTATTCTACTTTTAACTGATTTTATAAATTGCTTGCCAGGTTTTTACTGAATTTGATCCACCCTCATAATTTTTGACCCCCTGAGCCTCAGTTAACGGGAAACATTCAAAAAGCTACACGTTGAGGCTAGGTAAATAAAAAAACTTTTTTTGGAAACACAAGAGTGCTCTCCTAGATTTTTACTATATTTTTACCAACCTAGTCATGTTTTTCTCAACTACTCTAATTGAAAAACATTTTCAAATCTTATTCTATGCTAATAACTTTTTATTTTTTTAGTGTTTAAATATTGAAAATACTTTATTCCAAAAAACTATAAATTTGAACCCTTTATGAATATAAAATAACTGAAATCGAGTTGAGTTTTAGTCAATACAATGGAATTTTTATATTTCACAGAATAAATTACCAGGTAATTCAAACTAACATTGCAGGTATTACCAGGTAATAAACATTCAAAATAACATAACACACAAATTGAAATAATTTTATTACGTCTTTTATATTATTTAACTAATTGAAAAGAAGGGTCGGGACCGTGCGTATCTATTGTTAAGAGATTAAAAGATTTGTATTCAGTAGGTACATGAAAATTTGAAAAATAATTTAGGTATTTAATATTATTCAAATAAGAAGAGTATTAACGATTGGTCAAAACATATTTTTAAGATTATGTGTACCTATAGCACAAAGAATTTATCTTGGAAAACATTTTAGGATATAAATATTTTAAATAGGTATATTCAAATAAATCGGAAATTACCGGTTGGTCAGAACAGCTGTTATAGATTATTTGCGTAGTAAATTAAATTTAAATTAGCAGCATTTTAAAAATTTAAAGATATTTGTATTTTTTTAATTCTATGTCGAATTTTCATTCATTGTCAGTTGAATATAACTAGAAATTAAAGGGTATTTAAAAAAATATTAACCTGTTTATTTTGTTTATGGAAATGTTTAGAAGAATCGACCAAGGAGAGATCTGGTTTCTCGGGACAGTTCACACACTCATAAATTGGGTTTTTTCTAATGTTTAGGATAGTACTTACTCTGCATCTTTTTATTATTAATTTTTTATATTAATAATTCTATATCAATTATTTATAGGTAAATGTTCGCGTACGATATTCCGTCTTTCTTTACTTTTTTTATGAATTAATTTACGAATTAATTCTAACCTTCATACCGTCTTTTATGTGTTTTTTATTTAATATATTATTTAAAACTAAGTCTAACTTTCCACGGTACCATCGATTCATCTAGTGGTAATTCTTTTACTGGATAATACAGAGCAGTCATTTTATAATTAAAAAGTATATGACTGTTGTTATTCTATAAAACCGATCTACAGAAATAACATTAGGTCTCATTGGATTATGGATGAAGTGTAAGCACCCTAAAATTTAAAGAACAAGATCTCTGCCGAAAAACATAACACTTTTTTATTTCAGTTATAAGTAGCGAAGAGTAACATTGTAAAAGAATATTTTTCACCTTAAAGTTTAACAGAATTATTGACTTCCCATAGGAGGCAGTTGAGGGGTGAATAATTGCTAGTGTGGAAATAAATTCGCAAAAACCTAGCAAAACACTGTGATATTAAAAAAAATAATTTTTTTCTGATTTTGCTGGTTCAAATATTGAGCTAGCAGGAACATTTTTAAATAAGATTAGTTTAGAAGTGCAAAATTATTAGGATGGTCAAAGTATAGTAAAAACTTAACAAACCACTTTTTTATTTCAGTTAGGTATAAGTAGAAAAGAGGAAAAAATTTCTTCGTAAATTTTAATCTAACACAATTATTGACTTTTCACAAGGGGTAGTTAAGGGGTGAAAAATTACTCGGGTTGTAATACATTTATAAAAACCTAGCAGAACACTATGGTATATGGTATGGTATGGTATAACCGTAAGCCAACAGAATCGCTCCCCTTAAGGGTGGTTTGATTCTGAACAAATATTAGGATTGTAATTATTTAGTGAAAAATGGGAGAAAAAATATGTCATCAACAAAAAGTTTTTTTTAAATTTTACTAACTTGAACCTTACGCCACCAGAATCGCTCTCCTTACGGTTGGTTTGGTGGTGAAAAATTATTAGGGTGGTAATAAATTAGTGAAAAATGGGTGAAAAAATATGTCATCAACAAAAAGTTTATTTTTTGAATTCTGCTAGCTTGAACCTTAAGCCAGCAGAATCGCTCCCCTTAAGGTTGGTTTGGTGGTGAAAAATTATTAGGGTGGTAATAAATTAGTGAAAAATGGGTGAAAAAATATGCCATCAACAAAAAGTTTTTTTTTTGAATTCTGCTAGCTTGAACCTTAAGCCAGCAGAATCGCTCCCCTTAAGGTTGGTTTAGTGGTGAAAAATTATTAGGGTAGTAATAAATTAGTGAAAATGGGTGAAAAAATATGCCATCAACAAAAAGTTTTTTTTCCAAATTCTGCTAACTTGAACCTTAAGCCAGCAGAATCGCTCCCCTTAAGGTTGGTTTGGTGGTGAAAAATTATTAGGGTGGTAATAAATTAGTGAAAAATGGGTGAAAAAATATTACATAGGTTAAAATGGATTCCGCTCATGTGTCCCCGCTAGCTTAAGGGTGCTGGAAAAGTTTTGCAACGAACTCGTGAATTAAAATGGCGATTAACAATCTCAAACATTAACGCGCTCGCTCCGCTCACGCATATCTCAATTGTTAATCGCCCTTATTAATACACTTGTTGGTTAAATAACTCGACGATAAAGAGGAATCGACGTGCTGGCCATAAACATACAGTTTATTTTTTTGTTTGAATATTTGTGTAAATTTTACTTTTTGGTGTCTATCATCTGCATAACTTATTGGATACTGAGTATTGGTAAATGTAAATCTAAGTTTAGATCGGAAAACATAATGTTCGAGTATTTACTTCTAGCACAATATCCCACTGCAGAATCACTACGTTCATAACGTAGGTAATCAAACTCACATTTTTACGTATGTATAAAGTTACGAGAATATATTGATAATATGTTGCCAGTCAAAAAGTGGCCGAAAATATTTTTATTTAAATAACTATGAAGTAAATTTTAAACAAAAATGTTATATGGTTCGTTTATATTTTAAATAAAATACGGCGCTCATAATATGCATATTTTTAGCAAAAAACAATTAGCCTGCAACGAGACTGTTTTGACAAGTGATAATATGTATATTGTTATATATCTATCGACGCATACTTTAAAAACCTCACACCAAGGGTACAAACAAATAGTGTTGCTATTGCGTCTTTTACTTTACTTTTGATATCTCTCGTTTTTAACAGCTGGAAACCCTAATTTGCGACCATTTTTTCTCAGTCAAGTTTATATCTTATATAAGTTTATATAAATTTAATTTCATTTAAGAAAACATGCATATACGTCATGAGCAGTGTATTTTATTACAAAAATTGAATGAAATAAAATGTTTGCTCAAAAGTTAATTATTATTATTTAAATTAAAAATATTTGCAGCCAATTTTTGACTGACAAATGTATGTAAAAGGTAAGTTTCATCAACTACGTTATGAACTTAGTGATCCTGCAGTTGGATCTTAGACTATTACGCTACATTTTAGAAGAAATTGTAATGGTTATTACCAAATACCACTTGCTCATTTATTCATTTGAATCCTCTCTTTCCTTCTCTATATTTTTCCAATTTCGCTGATATAAATAAACGATTTATTTTTAGGTAAAAACATCCCAGCCATCATGTGGACGAGTCATTTGACAGAACCTCAAAATTTAATAAGGTTTCTACCAAAAGAAAAATATATAATACAAGTTTGGACTTTGGGTAACGATACACAAATTAAAAATTTATTAGATGAAGGTTACAACATAATTCTAAGTAATTATGATGCTTTGTATTTCGATTGCGGATTTGCTGGATGGGTTCAAGATGGAAATAATTGGTGTTCACCTTATATTGGTTGGCAGAAAGTATATGAAAATAAACCAGAAAAAATAGCAGGTAATAAATATTTTCTATTTCTATTCATTAAATCTTCGATTTAGATATTTTTATTTGGTTATAAGTTTGTTTTAAACAGAACACAGTTTGAGTGACTAAAATGATGTATCCAAGAACTTCGTGGGCGTTGAACTTTGATTAATAACTAAAAGTAAACTATCACTTATCTTAGAGACATTGTCAATATAAATGAATTTCACTTCCTGGTTCATCATGTCAGTTGGCTGGTATCTTCGGTAAGACTCAGATGTAGTCTCTGTTTCTAGTAAGGTTCAGTATATTCCCTTAAAATTAAATATTTTAAAACATAGACTCCATGTCGTTTTAATTTTTAAGATATTTAAAATGTACTTAAAATGTTATTACACATTTTTTAACTGGCTATTTTTTAACTTGCATTGCTTACTATGTCCACACATTTTTTTAGATTAATAGTCAACATTTAACCTTTTTTATTCATTACATTATTGTGGAAATAATCACTTTTAGATTTTCGCTAACTATGGTCCCTGATAAGGCCAAAAACTTTCTGATGAAATTTTAATATGTTTGAAAAATATAATTTTTTCTTCTTTAAGTGCCATCTTTGCGACGAAGTTTGGCAATCATCATGGCTATTCTGACCTTCGAGGCAGCTGCTCTGAACAATTGCCTTGTGCTGCAACCAAACCACTCTCTCAGGTTCTTCAACCAGGTAAAGCGTCTTCTTTTTACGCTTCTCCTACCCTCTATTTTTCCTTGATTCATGACTCTCTCTACTCATGGAATCCTTAACAATATTCTAAATGTCCACATTTCAAACGCGTTAAGTCGATTTATTATATTCCGGTTTAATGTCCATGATTCCGCTCCATAGTCGGGTACACTGTGTACATATCATTGAATTAGCCTTATGCCAATGTCAGATTTTTGCTGCATAAAATTTTTTCATTTTCACGAAGTTGGCACGTGCTTTTTCAATTCTGACTCATCTTTGTAGTATAATCGTTATTTTCTGTAATTATCGTTCCCAAGTAAGTATATCTTTTGACTCTCTCAATCTGCTGGCTGCCTACCGTTAATATTTCATTTGTATTACTGTTTTTGCTAATTTTCATGAATTTGGTTTATTTGATGTTAAGAGAGAGACCGTATTCTCCACTATATTTTAATATTTTGTTCATTATTCTCTCTAAGTCTTCTAAGTCGTCGGCTATTATGACTGTATCGTCGGCATACCTAATGTTAATTAAAATTTCGTTCACTTTTATGCCCACTGTCTCCTTTACCAAAGCTTCTTGTATGATTTCTTCAGTATAAGCGTTAAACAATAAGGGGGACAGTATGGAACCTTGCCTGACCCCTTTCCCTATCTCCACTTCTTCTGACACTTCTCTTCCAATTTTCACATTTGATCGTTGGCTGTAGTATAAATGTGACATCAATGTTACATCCATCACATCCAGATTCTTGTTTTTGATTACTTCTATAAGTCGGTCATGTTTTACTTTATCGAATGCCTTGTTGTAGTCTATAAAGTAAAAATAAAAATTTCGATTAAAACATCCTTGAGTCAGCACGTTAAAAGAAAATAGTGCCTCTCGGGTACCCACTCCATTCCGAAATCCAAACTGCAAATCATTATATCCATCTCCAGCTTACGTGTATTCTATTATGGATTATTTTTAGCAGAGTTGTGTGGTATGTGATATTAGACTGATCGTTCGATAATCACTACATTTTTTGGCATTTACTTTTTTGGTAGATAAATAAATGTTGACGTCAGCATTTCACGTGGAATGATTCCTGTTAAATAGATTGTGTTTAGTAGTTGGACTAGATCTATGTTTTTTTCATTGACCAGTTTTAGCAATTCACTTGGTAATTCGTCTGGACCAGTAGCTTTATTATTTTTCATGGACTTTACTGCATGCATAAATTCTGACTTTATTATTTCGGGTCCCTTGTCTTTAATCTGATTATCCTCATATATGTTTTCCTGTCTCTGGTCATGGAATAATTTCTCTATATATTCTTTTCATCTTCCTAATTTTTGTTCCGTCTTCACTAAAATGTTTTCTTGAAAATCCAATGGTATGCTTGAGGTGTTTGTTTTGCTACCCTAGCAAATTTTTTTAACTTTCTTATGAAGATTGAAGTTATCATATTTGTTTTGTGTCTTCTATTTCTTGGCACTTCCAGCGAAATAAGTCTCTTTAGCTTCTCTTATTTTTCTTCTTATTTGATTATGCAGCTATTGATACTGAGTTATGTTAATACTCTTTTACCTTCTTCTGTCCTCCATCATTGTTAAGATTTTTTCTGTCATCCAATCTCCTGTCTTGCATCTGATTGTTGTGAGTTCTCTGCGACTTGATTCGATAATTGGATTTTTAAATAATTGCCACTGTTGTTCTACATCACGATAAATTGTGGATTTGTGCCTACATCACTATAAATACGGTGTGGATTCTAGGTTTACATTAATTTCTTGTTTCAGTTTTTCTTTGTCGTCTTCTGATTTTAATATTTGTATGTTTAGTTTATCACTTTTGTACCCTTTTTGTATCTTTGTTAAATGAATTTAGAATTTTGCTACAAGAGGATTGTGGTTCGACGCCACGTCTGCACCTGGGTACGCTTTCACCGATTGTATTGCGTTTCATTATCTGTGGTTTATTAAAATATAGTCAATTTGGTTTCTAACGATTTTATCGACCTTGTCAGCTAGAGATTTCCAAGTGTAAAGGCGTCGTTTAGGCAGTTTGAAGAAAGTATTCATTACCGCAAGATTATGTTCTAGGCATAATTCTATAAGGCGTTCTCCTCTCTCCATTTTGAACACCTTGTCCATATGGCCCTACAGTAGACTCACATCTTCCTTCTCCAACATTGGCGTTAAAATCACCCATGACTGCTGTTATATCTCTAGATGTTATATTTTGTATGATTTTCTGATGGTCATCGTAAAATTTTTCAATTTCTTCCTCTGTTTTATCGGCGATTGGCGCATAAATCTGAATAAGGTTTAATTTCCCATGTGTTGTCATCATTTGTATTAGCATAATTCTTTTCGATATTGGTATAAAGCCTACAACTGATTTTGCAACCTTTTGACTGACATTAATTGCTACTCCATACCAATTTTAGCTGTCGATACTACTAGAGTATAAAAGTCGACCATAGGTTATACTTAGCTCGCCGGAGTCGAGCCATCTTGTGTCACTTATTCCCAATATGTCGATCTTCAGTCGCATCATTTCTTGTTCTATGTTTCTTAGTTTACCAAGCTCATACATGCTTCTAACATTCCATATCGCTATTTTAAAAGTTGAATTTTTTATTTTTAGTACGCAGGTATTTCGTTGGTTAACGACCTGAGGAGCCCTGTCATCATTATTATTTCTCCTCCTGCCGAATCTTGGCATCCGAGAACCATGATTAGTACGGTGATGCTTGTCATTAACTGCAATTGCGATTTCTAGGGGTACTCTAAGAGTCTTTAACGCAGTGGTTCCCCATTGCTTTTTGCATCCTTATGACGTTGACCATTCCTTGGTTCATCCGCCTTCGAGATAGATTTTTCTATCTCAGGACAAAAGAGTGCCCTTACATCTACCAGCTTCTCCTACCAAAACCGTTGGCCAGTATTTGACTTGATTCTATATCAGCCGTACCGAAGTTTTGCTTCTCCGCCTTGGCTGCAGTTGTGTACTTCATCCGTAACCCTGGACAAGGTACTAGTTTTCCGGATCAGGAAACCCCCGGAATATGCGAGGGGCAGGGATTGATTCATTTTCCCTGATAGGACGATCTTCAAGAATTTAAACAGTTCTTACCCGCTACCCAATTTTTTATGAAACATTAAATATGTACCATTTTACACTACAAGGCTTGCAATTCACTGTAAGTTTATTTAAATTATGGTATACAGCCAACCACTGTGATCCTTTCTTTTTTACAAGTTAATGTAAATTATTAGTAACTGCAAAATGTATCAATTAAATGTTTATACAGAAACAATGCTGGGATATACTGATCTTAATAATGTTCACGTATACGATAAATTTATCTTAGTAGTATTATAACCGGGAATATTTAGTCAAATGTGTAAATCTAATCTACTTTTATTTAGGTAACATGTATATCTGATGCCTATTTATGTTTAATATGAAGTAAAACAACTAATTCAAAGTGAAATGAAGAAATGAAAAAGACAGTCAAGATTTGATTTCACGTACAATGCGTGTGTGTATCTGCTTATACGTATTTCGCCCTAATAGGGCTCATCAGAACAGCTACTCACAGGAGTTCTGAACGTGAAAATAAATCTTTTCTGTCTTAAAAAACAACTCTAACATGGCTTATGAACGTAAATAGCGACATCTGATAATAAATCCGTAAACTGTTTTCGAAACCAATTTAGATTTCTGCTTTAACCTGTGCCTTCTAAAAATTGCAAGGCAAAACAGACGTTGGTAAATATGTTAATAGAGACATGGGTAATCTAAAATTTGCATTCCACGACATATCTCCTCAGCTAAGCAAAAATCGTTCTGATTGCTAATATTCCTACAGAACTACAAGAACTTATACTTAAGCAACTTAAATGCAGCTACCAATGAAGTTGGCCTAAAAATGAACTTGACAAAAACAAAAACCATGTACAACGACCATGTACCGTCGTGGATGTCTAAGATATAATAATAAACAACACTGTACTTGAGGCAGTAAATGAGGTTGTATGCCTGGGACAATTAATACATAAATCTGGCTCCTTACTTCCAGAAATCAAGAGAAGAATTAAACTAGCTTGGACATCTTCTGGTAGAAATGCAACTTTATTCAAATCGAAAATGCCAATTCACCTAAAGAAAAAAGCATTCTATCAGTATATACTAACAATTATGACATACGGCTGCGAAACTTGGACACTAGAGAAAGAGAGAATTATTGTATATATTATATATTATATATTATATATAATATATAATATATAATATATAATATATAATATATAA